GCCAAATAATGTACTTTATCCTCAAGAGGAAAAGGCCTTGGCTGGGCATGCTGGCTCAAGCCTATAATCCTAGCACTTTGGGAGGCTGAGACAGGAGGATTGCTTGAGGCCAGAGTTTAAGATCAGCCTGGGGAACATAACAAGACTTTGTCTCAAAAAAAATTTTTTTTAATTAGCTGGGCGTGGTGGTGCTCAGGAGTTTGAGACCAACTTGGGCAACATAGCAAGGCCCAGTCTCTGAAGAAAGTTTTAAGAATTAGCTGGACATAGTGGCATGCGCCTGTAGTCCCAGTTACTCGGAAAGATCCCATGAGCCCAGGAGTTTTGAGGCTGCAGTGAGATATGATCACTCCACTGCATTCAGCCCGTGTGACGGCGAGACCATGTCTCTGAAAATAAAATAACAGGTGGGTGGTGATGCTTTGTGTACTTCGGGGAACTCAGGTGTGAAAAACTGCTTTGTGCAAAAGCAGGTTCCTATGTGGTGGTTAGAATGGGGGGATGAGGAAATTGAGGGGCTGTCCTCCCCACCCCATCATTTGCCTTGGAGCAGACTGGAAGAGTCAGCAGAATGAGGGGCAGCGAGTCTGGATTGTAGGGCTCTGGGTTGGCTAAAACAGGGGCTGAAGCCCTCATATGAAATGTGGCTGGGATGAGCAGGCCATCTGGAATCCAGACTTTAAAGCATCAGCCACCCAGACATTGATTTGAGATCTCTGCAGATGGGGAAACGGCTGGGGTTTTAGCTGTCTGGAGTGTCCTAATTCCCCCGCAGAGTCTGGCCATGAGACATGGGCGGGTAAACCCTCACTGGGCACTTGATTCTTGCACCAGGTTTTAGCATGGACGTTGCTAAGCCAGCATGTGGCTTCGCAAATGAGGAGTCGTACAGTTCCTCTGGAGCGAGCCTGGGTCCCCGAGACTGACCCTGAAGTTCTTCTGGGTTGACTTGACCTTGCATGGGAGTCAGTGTAGTCATGGGTGTGGAAAGAGCTCAGTTAAAAGGTGCTGCACTAGGTGAAAAAGAATGTGTTGATGTCTTAAGATCATCTTTAGATAAACAGCAAAACCCTGGGTTAAAGCTTGTCTAACCCGCCTGATTTTGTTGTTGTTTGTTTTGTTTGAGGCTTTCTCAGCCTGAAGCCATGGTTTTAGTTTCTTTTTCTTTTTTTTTTTAATTTATTGCATTTTAGGTTTTGGGTTACATGTGAAAAACATGCAAGATTGTTGCATAGGTACACACATGGCAGTGTGATTTGCTGCCTTCCTCCCCATCACCTATATCTGGCATTTCTCCCCATCTTTCTGTAGTGATAAGCAGAAAAGGGGAATCAGGAAGGGGCTTTACTGGCCCAACGTAAAACAAACGAACCCATGAGTGTATTCTATCCCTTGGACACCCCTGCTAGAACATTTAGTAGATGCTGACAATTCTGAGCTAATGTAAAAGCCAAGTCTGTCAGATTTTGTGAGAACCAACGTTAAAAAAAAAGCCAAGTCTGGAGGGGCCCTAGAGTGGGGGACTAGGGTGAGGAAGTTGTTGAAGGAGGCCAAGGGGTGGCAGGGCCTTCATCTAATAGTGACAGTAGCATTTTAGAGCTAGAGGGTCTTTATCGATTGTCTGGTTCACATGCCTGATTTTAAAAGAAGGAAGCCGAGGCAGGAAGATTGCTTGAGCCCAGGAGTTGGAGACCAGCCTAGGCACCATAGTGAATCAACCTCTCTGTTAAATTAATTAATGAAGTCAAGAAAGGTGAGGCATGGGCTGGGCGCGGTGGCTCAAGCCTGTAATCCCAGCACTTTGGGAGGCCGAGGCAGGTGGATCACAAGGTCAAGAGATCGAGACCATCCTGGTCAACATGGTGAAACCCCGTCTCTACTAAAACTACAAAAAATTAGCTGGGCATGGTGGCGCGTGCCTGTAGTCCCAGCTACTCAGGAGGCTGAGGCAGGAGAATTGCTTGAACCCAGGAGGCGGAGGTTGCGGTGAGCCGAGAGCGCGCCATTGCACTCCAGCCTGGGTAACAAGAGCGAAACTCTGTCTCCAAAGAAAAAAAAAGAAAGGTGAGGCGTGGATGGCTTCAGTGACCTGGACTAATACAGAGAGGTGGCAATGGGGAGGGTCAGAGCCTCACTTCTGAGGGATTACACCACAGCTCACTTCCCCCACCCAAAGGCCAAAGAAACTGAGCATTGACAGTCAACATAGTGATCTTGATACCTGGAGCCCACTCGATGTCCCGTGGATTAAGGAGACCATGCGGCTCCATACAGCTTGTTAAGGGACTCGGTGGGTGCTCCAGGCTCTTGGAGTCTTCCTGCTTTGACTGCTGTGCTCAACCCAGAACTACCCTCTTCCTGGAATTCTCCTTTGGACACGCACAGAGGCAGAACCTGGCCTTGCCTTTGCAACCAGTAGCTGTGTGCAGTCACCTGGGACAGTGCTGCAGGTCAGCAGCTGGCACAGTGCTGGACACCGGGTTGGGGTCACTCAGCCGGTCTCAGCCCTGGCTCCCAGCTAGATTCCCCCAGGAAGTCCCTACAGCTTCGGACTCGGCAGGTCTGTGTGGATCCCGGCGAAATTGTTTTCAGAGCCCCCCAAGGTGTTGCCAATGTGGAGCCAGGGCTGGGGACACCTGTTAGAGGGCGCTGAGTCCTGTGGGACAGGAAGTGGAGAACCTGGGAGAGGGAGAGGCAGAGGCACGCGGGGAAGCCGGGCCTTTGGCCACCTGTACCCACAGCCAGTGGCAGATCACTCCAGACACACGGTTCCCCCCGACCCCGGCCCCACCATCCAAGTGGGAAGGACCAACAACAGTCCCCGATTCAGGATTGCTGGGTCAGCCGCTCCAAATGCCTGAGTGCCGCCCTGTGCCCACCCGGCCTGGATGTGTTTGTTGTCAGTTGTAAACTCGTGAATGAACACCAAGGTCACCTCTGCTGGTAACCTTTGGGCAGGGCTGCTTACAGGTGGCTCATGTTGAGGGTGACGTCACCCCATCAGGGTGAGGTCTCAGAAGTCCCATGGGCCTCAAAGGTCCCCTTTGGAAGGAGTGGAGAAAGGACCCTCACATGTGCCACGGATTGGGCTAGATCCTTGCGAGCTGACACTGGTCATGAGGAGTCCACTGGCTTAGAAAATTCAGACTTAGAACAGGCCATCAGGGAGCTCCAGAGGCCTAAGGCCTTGGAAATGTGTATTGGGCTTTGTCATTCAGCCTGGGAGGAAGGGAGTGATTGTCTCTAGGTGCCTCTGGGAGGAATGAGTTACTCTGTGTAACTAGGAAGTTCCAACAGGCCGGGAGCCTCTTGTAGGATAAGCCATTCTGTCCTCCTGCGGTACTCACATTGGGGTAAGGGTGGCCTGGGATTTTGACAGACCATCTGAGAGGTGGGCTATGCCTCAGTCAGAAGGTGGGCTGGAGTGGGGGGTAGGGGAGCCTGTAGCCCCAGTTCCCTGGTTGGGATGAGAAGAGCATGATAGGACTCGCCGCTCATGGTGACCAGGAGTTGCACCCCAGCTAGCATGTGCTCCTCACCCTGTCAGACCCCATAGGCAGATGCCCAAAGACTGTTCCTGACAGCAAGACAGTAGCATTTTGGGTCCTCCTTTCTTTTTTCTTTTTCTGTCTTTCTTTTCTTTTTTCTTTTTTTTTTGAGAAAGAGTCGTGCTCTGTCACCTAGGGTGGAGTGCAGTGGAGTGATCTCGGTTCATTGCAACCTCCACCTCCCGGGTTCAAGTGATTCTCCTGCCTCAGTCTCCCAAGTAGCTGGGATTACTACAGGCACCTGCCACCACGCCCGGCTAATTTTTTGTATTTTTAGTAGAGATGGGGCTTCACCATGTTGGTCAGGCTGGTCTTGAACTCCTGACCTCAAGTGATCCACCTACCTCCGCCTCCCAAAGTGCTGGGATTATAGGCGTGAGCCACTGCGCCAGGCCAGGGATCTCCCTTTCAGTAGTAACCCAACGCTCCTGTATGGGAGAAAACAAAGTGTTTTCTCTGTACACAAGCTCAACACAGAACACTTATGTGACCAAATGTGGGGACTTTTCCTCACACCAAGCAGTTCTCTGCAGACACCAGGTGGGTGTCCTACAATTTCAACTCAGTTCTGACACTGTCTACCTGGAGTTAGCGTCGGATCCCACAGTTAAGGGCTCAGCTCCGGAAGACTACCCCTAACTTCACGTGTCAGTAGCAAGTCCAGGTTGTCTGGAGTAAATTGGAGGCTCTAGCAACCCCCTTTTTGAGTTTGATCCCTTACTGAAATGGCTCACAGAACTCAGGAAAACCACTTACTATATGACTGTTTTTTAATAAAAAGACACAACTCGGGAACAGCCAGACAGAAGAGGTACATAGAGCAAGGTCTGTGGGAAGGGGCGCAGAGCTTCCATGCCCTCTCCGGACACTGCCACATTTTCAGCCCCAGAAGCTCTCCCAACCCTGTCCTTTCGGACAGCCTTCATCATGTAGGCATGATTAATTATATCACTGGCCATTGGTGATCAACCTGTAGCTGTGGATCTTCCCCAGAGAGTTGGGGGTGCCAACTCTCTAATCATGTGGTTGGTTCTTCTGGCAACCAGCCCCCTTCCTGAGGCGGTCCAGGAGCCCCAGCCACCTGTCATTCATTAGCATACATAAAGACATTTATTACTTTGGAGATTCCAAGGTTTTTAGGAACTGTGTGCCAGGAAAGTAGGGAGTGGGGTAAGCAGAGATCAAATACGTAGTTCTTATGTCACAACCCTGCCAGGGGGCAGACATGTCTCAGAAAGCGCCTTGTATTGTCTGAAGAGTGAGCCGTGTTCATCCCCCCTCACCCTTGTGGTCTTTGATCAGTCCATTGTGAAGGTGACATCAACACACCGAGGTCCTTGTGAGATGCTTGTCGGGGACAGAGATGGTGTCAGCTGGGTACCTGCTGGGACAGGTTGGGTATGGATGCTCCCTTCTGTGTCTCTAACACAGGATGCTTCTTTGCACACACAGATGGCTCGTTCGGAACACCACCTGGGTATGGCTGCGCTGCAGACCGGGCAGAGGAGCAGCGCCGGCACCAAGACGGGCTGCCCTACATCGATGACTCACCCTCCTCATCGCCCCACCTTAGCAGCAAGGGCAGGGACAGCCGAGATGCGCTGGTCTCAGGAGCCCTGGAGTCCACTAAAGCGGTGAGTGCCCATGGCGCATGTGTGGCAGGAGGGCCAGGTGAGGCTCCCTGAAGCGCAGCCCCGTGCTCAGGGGTACCTAGCAGTTAGGTGGTGGAGCAGCCAATGGTTTTGAAGCCGAGTGGGTCTTGAAAAACTCCTTCCTCATCTCTACATGTGGTACACAGACTGCTTGCCAGATGTGTTGAGCCGGGAGATCGGGGGATGCTTTGAAGGAGGAGGAGGGCAGTACATGGAGGAGGAGGCAGCACGTGGTCTTGAGGCTGAGAATGTCAGCACCAGAGGCCACCTGCATGAAGCAAGCAAGACCTGCGTGGTGGCCCCGGCAATGCTGCTGTGCTGGGCGGTGTCTGGGCTCGGGTCCCTTTGCTTCATGAAGTTCTCTTGCTCCCTTTTACCAAAGCATGTGCTGAGAATGGCTCCATCCATGTGACCAGAGCCTTTCCTGTGAGTTTTCACTTGACCCTCGTTAATAATTCTTGGCCTTGCCATCACTTTCACTTTACAGATGTGGAACTGAAGTCCTGTGGTGGAAACCCCAAGGTTGTACGGCTAGAGAATAGTGGCATATTCAGGAGATGCTCTGCTGTGCCCACTGAAAAAGCAGTGGACCTGTCCGTACCCCCCGTGAGAACATAGCCTGGAGTGGCCGCAGGCTGGGTGGTGCTGGGCCAGCTCGGCCCTGCATGGAGGCCTGACTCCTCTCACTGGTCCCACAGCTCGGTGCTGCTTCAGCCGTGCTCTGGGCCCAAATGCACACCCCGTGCCGCTGGTGCGTGTCCTGCCACTTCACCTCTTGGGTTCCTTCCTTCTTGGGCTGAGAAAATCGCTGCCCAAGGCAGTTGTGTCTTTTT